GTCCACATGGACTAATAGTTAAAATACACCAAAACTATATATCTGCAGAGGTGAAACAATTGTCTGACTGGAACAATATACTGATATACAGGATCACATCACATCACATCACATCACATCATATCATATTTCAAACAAAGCCGTCTTCTCTCTCGAGCAAACTAATAAAAACTGGCACAAAAAAGGTTCCTGTTGAAAAAGACAAGTCTTTTTCAATGAAGCAAAGAACTCATGAGGAGAGAAGAATTACTCTAAATGATCATATAATGATAAAAACCAGTGGTGTGTTCTTCTCAACATACAGCCTTCAGGAAACGTACATTCAGCCGAGCAATACAACAACAACATGGACGTAAACAAACAAAACAGCCAGAGAAATATAGAACGTACGTCTTAAGTACATTTTCTCAAGTACAATTTGGAGGTACGTGTACAGTAGTATATCCATTTTTACTACTTTAAACTTCTATTCTACTACATTTTAGAAGGAAATGTTGTACTTCACCCCCCAACAAATATCTTAATATCTTGTTGCACACTATAATGTATAATTATTATCTCTAACAGTGCGAGATAATTATTTTACTTTGATACTTTAGGTGCATTGTGCTGGAAACACTTTGTGTACTTTTACTCCACTAGACTTTTAAAGTGTATTGTTACTTTTACTCCAGTAAATAAACATTGAAGTACTTCTTCCTCTACTGTGTACTGAATCTATAGCATTAGAATACATAACTGTGAATACCGACCGATCCTTACGAAACCAATTCAAAGGAGCAACTCCATGTTTTGTAGTTTTATTTGAGCAACTTAAATATTGTTTATTTTAACATTTTATACTTTAATCTAAATTCTTAAACTCTGAAAAACTGTTTTTTTTAACTTGCAAAGTGGAATTGGAACGAAATAAGTAAAAATAGATAAACACAAAATATTTCAGTGTTTGACCATCAATTATTAAGTAGTTGTTAAACTTCACAGTTTGGGGTTTGTTTCTTTTTACGTATTAAATTTTTGTTTGCTTCGATAACCAACAGTTCCTCTAACTCGCTCTTAAAGAATAAAGTAGTTAAAGTTTAGGTGCAAATAAAACGGTAGAAGTAACTTTGAGAGGATGAGATCTTGACTTCACAACAACAGAAGCGTTTTTATTACATTGAGATCAATGTACGGATCAAAGTCATGTGAATGAACAACAGTGTTACGAGCAGCAGATACGATTGAATAATTAATGATGCATCTGTGAAGAGAGTGGACATCAAATGAGCCGAGTCATCAATTGTGGCGGAGTGCTCTGATGTGTTGTTGCTCCGACAGAAAGCTGCTTTAGGTTCTTCAGGAGATCAAAGTCGGCTCGCGTCCTCAGTTGTGACTTTAGTCGCCATGTTTCCCAACATGTTACAATGTCACCAATTTAAAATGTGCTCGGAATCAACTATTAATTAATTATTTTTTATTATGTTTTACTTTAATATTATCATAATTATTTATGTCGTCATTTAACTTACTTAACATTATTATTATGATTTATTTATTCATTTACTTATTTAATTATTTATTTTTAGCAAACTATTTACTTTTTTTAAATATTTTTTCCTCATTAATATTAATGTTATTTAACTTCCTTATCAACGTTATCATTTTGTTTTCCTGAACATTACTAGAAGCAATATTTTTCTCATTATTTATTTATGTAGTTATCAACCTTCTCGATCAACATTATTATTATTATTATTATGTATTTCTCTCCTCTTCCTGCTTCTGTCTTTGAGTTATTTAAATTTAAATATCTTTCATACACAAAACAACTACAACTCTGAGCCATGTTTGAATCATAACGTCTGTTTTATACGTTGTGTCTTTTCTGTCTCGTTTGTCACCTGTTTGCGTCACACTGACAACATTTCTTGTTGTCACTTGATTTTCCTACAGTAAGCAGAGCTGCAGCAGTCAGTCGACTGACAGAAAATCATTTTTAATAATGGATGAATCATAAAAAATGTCAAACCTTTGAAGGTTCCCGTTTCTACAACAGCAGCATTTTCTGCTTTTCTTCGTTTTGCATTTTAGGTTCATATTTTGGGAGTTTTTGACTGTGGACAGTAAGTGTAGCAGGAAACTTCACATAGTTTTCTGATGCGTTTCAGACTCAACGATTAATAAAGAAAGTAAGCAGCAGATTAGACGAGTGTTAACTGTCACTTTTCATGTGAACAACTGTCTCTCTCTATGACGACTTCTCTCAACGATAAACACTTCTGATGTAAAACAACCAGTTGTTGTCTAACTTGACTTTATCTCGGGTCTTATTCGCAGACTACTTCAGAGGGTGTTGAGCTCAGCTGGGCTCTGCTGTCTGGGTTCAGTGTCCGCCCTCACAGCAGCGAACACCA